TGTACCAACTTCCAGTAAACCCTAGCTCCATCTTTATATTCTTCTTCTTTCACCTTCACATATCGTGTTTTCAGAAGTTTTTCCGATGGTATTAACTCTGAACGTAAATCTGCAAGTGAGACGAAGGCCGGAGAATCATCTTGAACGACGTGTTCTCGTTCAAGAACAATATTATTACACATTCTTGAAAATTTTAGATGAAAATATGTGTTGTCCATAATGAAGATATCGTTGAAATATCCTTATTTTTTTACTAATCCTTTCTCACGAGCAGGGAACTAAGAGAAAAAAAAATATGTCTAATGTACGTGTTCCGGCTTGTATTTATTTATTTTATATAGACAAGAATTTTAGGAATTATAGTCGAAAACAACCTCCAAATTACATGCGGATTTGGTCTTGGACATCAACAACACTCCTATTAGAAAAAGGATCATCTTCAATCTGGAACCCATTTAAACCCGGTGAGATGACCCGACCTGACCCAACCATATACGAATTGGGTTGATGGTTTGGGATTAGGCCCAAATCATAATGAATTTTTTTAGTAACCTGCTTAGATGACATGGAATTTTTTAGGCAAAATTGACAACCTTTCTCCATTTTAATGAATACCTCATTTTCCTTGCTTTCAATTTACAACCTTTTATAATTTTTTAAAAAATAAGTCTTTAATGTTTCAATATTTTTAAAATTATATTTTACTTTTTCTTTTTCTTTTTTTTTTTTTTAATTATCAAATATCATTGTTTCGCAAGGGTAACATAGTGTTACCGTATATCAATTATTGCGTAACATTTACCCTTCCTTTTTGCTCGACCAGCACAAAAACATCCCCGAATCAATACCTTCAACGGCTCCACCTCAACTTTTGACGATACAACCTGATCAATTTCAATCAAATTAACAAAAATTCATTACTTATAGGGTAACACACATGTTACCTGGTTATTAATCTCAAACCCCAACACCACTTCCTACCATCAACCGTAACACCATCTCCCACACTTTACACTTACCGTCGTCAAACACCATAACAAAAAATGTTTATTTGTTTCTAGCATTTCGATCAACTCTACTAACTCATCCTGCTCTTCTCCTGAGTTTCTGCTTGGGAGGAAGTAGGGAGACTCCTTTGTAGAAACTAGTAACCTCCCTGGTAGAAAATCTGGAGCTCGGGAATGTCCCATTCTTCTCCAGAGTGTCTGCTTTGGAAGGAACTAGGCAGACTCCCGAGCTACAAGCAGAAACTAGTGATCTCCCTGCAGAAACTCTGGGCTCCGGAATCTCCCAACCAAGAGAAATTGAGAAGTTGAAAATAAAACTTAGAAAGTTAGGCTCCCGAGCAAAGGAAATTGAGCCGGTTGAAAATGGGACTTAGAAAGGTTAGGCCACTTGGCTACCATCATTTTAGCAAATATCCAAGTATTCCAAGATAATTGATGACTTGAATACCAAGATAAATTGATGAAAGTTTCTACCGTGAAGACTGGGCATCACAAGTTCTACAAAATTGCATAGATCTAGGATGGCACATTTGGGTGACATGATGAAGAAAAAGGTAGGGGCCGGTAAGGAAGAACGTGGTGGGTAAAGTGAAGGGGAGGGTATTTCAGGATTGACCGGGAGTAATTTATTTCCAAACTTTCAATCGCCAAAAAATTTGTAGAGTAGCTCTTTGCATTGGCATTTGAGTTGAATAATCAACTGAATACATAAAAAAGAAGTTGGGGGGGGGGGGGGGGGGGG